CATTCAGGAGGCAGAGGGAGGCAGCGAGTTCCAGGCCAGCCAGGGCTACACTGTGAGACCCTGTAAGTAACGGAAACATATTTGTTTCATTCTGAAGAACTGGCCAAGGAAAGAAAGGCTCTCCCTCACTGCCTGCGAGTCCCACAGGCTGCAGTTCTCAACAGCCAACAGAGGGCGCCAGCGAGCAGCCCAAGGGCAGAAGCCCACACACAGCACGGACGGACGGTGTGGCAAAGCTGTCTGCTGTCCAGTGGGGTACTTGGGAGATGAGGCGGGGCCTGAGGAACCCTGGGACAGAATTCATTGGAATCTGGGAAGACAGGAGAGAAGCTAGCCTTCTCACGAGGAGCTCCCCAATTCCTCCTGAGCTGAGATGCAGTAGAGAGCCAGCAACCTTGAACTCCCAGTGGAAAAGACACATGGCCCCAGACAAATGTGAATAAAAACGACAGGAATCTGCTCACGTTGTACCTGAACAAAACAAGGTAGGGGCACATAGGTGCGGGTACCAGCATCCACAGAAATGGCACGGGGAGCACGGGACAGAGCACAGCAAATGAAGAACAGCAGGAGAGGAGGAGGGGCGGCGACAGCTCTGAGGCCCTCCAGAAATGAAGGGCTTTGCAGAGGCCAGACACAAGATGGGGAACACAGTGAGAAGACACAGCTGGGCTGGGGGCACAAATTGGAACCCAAATGACACTAATAAGGAGCAGACACAGCTGCTGAACAGCGAAAACTTTAGAACACAGTCTGAAAGGGTTTCAGCGAAGGCAGGGAAAAGGAAAACAAACCATCTCTCTAACCGCAGGAAATGACAGATAAGGAAGAGGAAGGGCCCAGCACAGAGGCTTCCTGAACACAGCAAGCTTGACCACAGGCGACCAGGGGTGCTCCCACAGGCGTCTTTTGACTCACTGGACTGGAGGGGAGCACATCTGGATTTCCTGAAACCATGTTCAAACTAGAAGGCAGTGACCAGAATTTTCTAAAAAAGATCCGAAGAGATGAATTCAGCCCAGTATAATACTATACCTACTCACGGTTCTTTAACCACAAAGGCAATAGGCAGGAACAGGAACAAACCCCAAAACATACCACCCTCAGTCCCCGCAATAGAAAGCAAGAGGCGGAACCCTGGCCAGGGAGCCGGTGCCGCGGCAGAGAAAGGGCTTGCCGAGCTCAGTCAAAACAACTGACGTGGTGGTGTGCAGCTGTGATGGCAATACTCCCACAGCAGGATGGGACACAGACACCAAGAATCTGCTAGAGGCTTCCAGGCCAGCTAGACTGGAGTAGGCTATTGCTCAATCTAGAAGATGAGGACCAACTCCAGAGGAGTCCTCGGACTCCACCATGAACACTAACACGCACCTGCGCGCGCAGGCCCTCAGCCCTTGTTAAAATAACTGAGTGGTTGAGCACCAAACCCACCCAAATATAGACCCCACAGGTTTGTTTTGGATGCAGATGGGAAAACAAGAAAAGTAACAACAAAACAGGGTGTGAGGAAACGTGGCTCAGAGGTCAAGAGCACTTGCTGCTCTTCCAGGACCTGGGTTCAGTTCCCAGCACCCACCTCAGGGACTCACATCAGCCTATAACTCGGGTTCCAGGGGCTCTGACGCCCTTTCCCGCCTGTGAGCACGGCACTCTTGTGGTGCACACACACACACACTCAGGGACACACACATGTACCCATTTAAAAAAGAAGAAGAAACCTTTGGGACTGGAGAAGTGTCTCCGTCGCTAAGAGCACCGATGCTCCTCCAGAGGACCTGGGTTTGGTTCCCAGCACTCACATGGCAGCTCACAGCCGTCTGTAACTGCAGTTCCAGGGGATCCGGTGCCCTCCTCTGGCCTCACGAGCACCAGCGTGCACATGGTGCAGAAACATATACACAGGCAAAACTCATACACATAAAATAATAATTTTTAAAAGTTACCATGAATAAATAAAATTTTTTAACCTTTATAAAATGTAGCATGGCGCTGGGCACAGTGGCGCATACCTGTAATCCCAGAACTCAGGGAGGCAGAGACAGGCGGATCTCTGAGTTTGAGGCCAGCCTGGTCTACAAAGCAAATCCAGGTCAGGACTACACAGAGAAACCCTGTCTCAAAAAACCAAACCAAACCAGAACAAACCAGAACAAAATTGAAGGTGGAAGAATAAAAATGAAAAGAAATTTGTAATTACTAACTGCCTCATATTTCATAACAGGAAGTCAGTTTTTCTGTTAAATATACACAGAATTAAACATAACACAAACCTAATTCTTTTTTTTGTTTGTTTTGTAGCCCTAGCTGTTCTGAGCTCTACAGACCAGGCTGGCCTGGAACTCAGAGATCCGCCAGCCCCTGCCTCGGGAGAGCTGGGATTAAAGGCGTGAGCAGTCACACCCCATTCTTTTGAACCTTTCCACTTAGCTAGTTATTGATCCAACCTAGCTTTAGTGTAGTACCTAAACGCCCTCTAGAGAGGCCTCCTGACGTGAGCACTGTTCTTTTCTGAGAGGTGGAATGGAGGACAAGCCAAAAAGCAAAGAAATCTTCAGGATCTGTGTTTCTGAGCTTCCCTCCCACCTTCCTACATTTTGCTTTCCTGAAATAAGTTCAGGCACCGGGAAAACTGAATGTCTCCAGCCATGAAGGGCATCCGAGGGTAACAACAGTCAGGATGAGAAAACCAGGCCTGTTTAAGAGCCAGAATTAGCAGGGAAAAAGCAAGCTGAGCAAAGGTTCTTGAGAGGGTAAGTGTTCTACCAGATCCACCAAGAAAGCCCTTCCCCTGCCTGCATGGTGGCACACCTGTGACCCCAGCACCCTAAAGACAGAGGCTAGGGTTCAGAATACTTCAAAGCCATCATTGGTTACACAGTGAGTCAAGGCAAGCCTGGGCTACACAAGACCCTGCCTTACAAAAGAGGGGTGCTGTCTGAGTCAGGAAAGTGCCTGATGTGGAAGCTTAGAGACTGGAGTTGGGGTCTTGGCACCCATGGGAAGAGCCAGGAATAATGGCACATTTCCATCACCCTAGCACAGGGAGGACAGAGAGATGGATTCCTGGAGCTCCCTGGCCAGCCCATACCAGCCAAAGCACCAGGTTTAGTGAGAAACTCCCTTAAAAGTGGTGTGCAATCCAGGAAGACACCAGATGTCAACCTCTGACCTCCACACACATGCACATACATGAAGACATGCAACCCCCACCCCAACAAACAACAAATGCCAGCTAAGTGTCCGTGACTCCCAGTTCGCCTCTGTCAGATCTCCCTGTAACTCCACATTCATTTCCAACTACTGACTCCCTGTCATCCTGAAAGACTGAAGAAAGACTGAAGAACCCTACAAAGACCAAGCTCTTGACTTCCTGTTCCAGATCTGGCCCTCACTCCACACGAGGCTCAGCCTTCCTCCTTTCCTCACAAGCCAAACAAACGCCTCACAAAAACCCTTGCCCATCTCCGCTCATACCGTCTGTTCAGTTTGTCAGCAAATCTTCACCACAAGTATTGCTGGGCTGGGACGCACGGACAGACAGACAGACACACACACACACACACGTGCAGTGGCTGCCAGCACGTGAACAGGGCCTGGGGTACATGCTTGCACTCCCATTGTGGGAGCAGGGGACAGGACATCTCACGATGTTATCATCAGCCTACTTCTAGTCTGGATGGGGATGGTAGAGTCTCCCTGTTCGGGGCTACATTCTTCTTTTTTTTTTTTCAATCTTTTTGTTAGGTTTGTTTGTTTGTTTGTTTTTTTTCCAGACGGTGTTTCTCTGTGTAGCCCTGGCTGTGTTGAACTTGCTCTGTAGACCAGGCTGGCCCATGTCTCCCAAGTGCTGGGATTCAAAGCTTGTGCCACCACCACCCGGCCTGGGCCTGCCTTCTTTCCTTTTCATCTACCCTCCTAGCAGCAGGCGGAGACCTCTGACAGCGCAGGCAAGATCCCGCTACTGTCCTCAAGCAGAGCAGTGGCTGTGGGCCTGCTCAGGACGGCCAGACTTCTTCCTTCTGTGGTCTACACAGGCTCCTGCCTCGTGCAGCCATGAGCTCTGCTCCCAGCGTCAAGGTTCCAGCTGCCTTTCCAGCCAGATCTCAGCTCCCACAGCAGCACACCATGGAGGCTTCTGGCTTTTCTACAGCTGCCCCCATGCCCGCCTCCACTTGTTTCAGGGCAGCTTTGCCTCTCTGCTCACAGCTACATCCCTAGAGCTTAGTCCGGGACATAAGGCAGGGCTCACATCTGTCAAATGGACAAGTTACAATAAAGGAACCTGAAGCTTTATTCTCTAAGACCCGGGACTGTCTTTTTTTTTTTTTTTTTTAATCTCTCTCACTTCTGACGGATGCAACTCCAGCAGTTATCACTTGCTTTTAATGAATAGCACAGACAGCTAGGAAACTATCATGCTCAGGTGCGACCACTATTCTCCAGTCGGTGACATGTGGCTCTGAGGAAGGTAGGAACTGTCAGCACAATCAGTGAACCAGAGCAGTGTGCGCCTGTAACCCAGCACATGCGAGGTAGAGGCAGGAGGATCAGGAGTTCAACCCGGGCTACCTTGATACCCTGGCAGTGGTGGTGCTCAGGCGTGCATGCGTGCATGCGCGTGCGCGTGCGTATGTATGTGTGTGTGTGTGTGTGTGTGTGTGTGTGTGTGTGTGCGCGCGCGCTCTCTCTCTCTCTCTCTCGTACTGCAAACACAGCTCAATAGGCAGAGGGCTTGTCCAGTGTACTTGAAGCCCTGGCTTCAATCGCCAGCACTACAAAAGCTGAGCAGCACACAGAAATCCCAGCCTGAGGAAGTGAGGGGGTGAAGATCAGAGGATTAGATCGCTCTTGGTGAGTAGGAGGCTAGCCTGGGCTAGGAGACCCTGTCTCAAAAACAAAAACAAACTAGATCCAGCAAACCGAAAAGCAAGCTGCAGCTGCTTTGCCCTCCAGTTCCGACAGTGAGGCGGAAGATGTGTGTGCCGGCTAAACTGTACCTGTCCCTGTCGGGTCACCGCCTTGGATCATGAAGTCCTTGATGATCCTGTGGAATTTGGTGCCGTTGTAGTAGCCCCGCCGAGCCAGCTCTGCAAAGTTCTTGCAGGTCTTTGGGGCGTGCTTCCAGTACAGCTCCAGAACAATGATCCCCATGCTGCAGTGGAACAGATAGCAGAGACGAGTCAGCAAGGTGAGGGCGTGCAGGAGTGGGGACAGACAGCAGTCAGCAAGGTGAGGGCATGCAGGAGTAGGGACAGACAGCAGGGCCAGTCAGCAAGGTCAGGGCACACAGCTGGGAGGGGCTGCTTGGACTCCTGCTGTTCAACCCTGTGAGGCATCTAACTGTGACCGGAGTACTCAGAAGGAAACAACCCACAAAGCAACAAGGCTACGGCCAGTCACCTGGGTGTGACATGCATGACAGCTTCTGGTGGGTGCTCTAAGCAAGACAACCACAGACCAACCAGAAAACCTAAGAGCGTATACTGATGCTCTGAGACCAACCCCAAATACGGAAAAAGACCTCCCGTGTTATCTATGGATGTAATGAGAGGACATTAAAGTGTGAGGAGTTTATGCACAATTGCAGCAGTCTGGGGGTGTGGAGGCGGCATAGAACTATATCACCTGTTAAAACAACACTTAAATAGAAAAATAAAAAGCAGTTTGCATGTTAAGGAGAGGGTCAAACAAGAGCTGGAGATGATTCGTCGTTAAGAGCATGTACTGCATGCTCAGCTCCCAGCAGGCATGTCAGGAGGCTCACAACCACTTGTGCCTCCAGCTCCAGGGTTTCCAACATCTCTGGCCTCTGCACTCACGCCCACACATCCACACATGATTAAAAATCAAATCTAAAGAGAATGGGTAAAACAAATGCCAAGGCTGGTTATCTCAAGTGTCTGCACATACCAAGTATGAGTGCCTTTAAAAAAAAAAAACTTATTTTTTATTTTATGTGCATTGGTGTGAGGGCGTCGGGTCCCCTGGAGTTACAGACAGTTGTGAGCTGCCGTGGGGGTGCATGGGAATTGAACCCAGGTCCTCTGGAAGAACAGCCAGTGCTCTTAGCGGCTGAGCCCTCTCTCCAGCTCCCAGTATGAGCGCTTTTATTCTTACCCCTAGTACCTTTAAGGATAAGACAGAAGCAAGAGGCAAGACACCATCACCCACTGAGCTCTGGGGATGGGAGGACTGAGTTGTTGAGTCTGTATGGCCCTGATTCGGGGGCCCAGCAATGTGAGCTGGGTGCAATGCCTGCACTCAGGAGGCAGAATGAGGCTAAAGTCAGTAGGCCGTCTGCCCAGGCTCCAAGCAAGGTTCCCTCCACTCCCTGTGAAACTCGGGTTCCAGGTGGAGCTGTAAAACGTGGCATTTCTCTGCTAAAACCGGGCAATGCCTTCACGATAGGAGCCACCGGCAATATTAAAGTGAATGCAATCACGCACACCACAGACATGGCAGCTCAGGGCCCATACCCTCGCTAAGCATTCTATCCCAGCCCAGACCTTGAACGTCTGATCCTCCTGCTTCCATCGCCAGAGCGCTAGGATCGCAAGCATGTGCCGACCACACCGAGTGTGTGCGGTGCTGGAGACGGACCTCGGGGGACTCAGGCGCGCTAAGCCAATCCTTGAATGGTGGGGGAAGTAAATCTTCCCCTACTCTCAACGCAGTTTGATCAGACAGCCCTGCCACTTGTCCCGTAGTGTTTACGCGTCCGTCTCCTTCACCGTGATAGACCCTTTTCTCTAGATCCGTGTCTCAAAAGTCCAGGTCCTACGTGCATGGCTTGCGGACTCAACGCACACTTACTCAGAGTGAGTGAGTGAGTGAGTGAGTGAGTGAGTGAGTGAGTGAGTGAGTGAATGAGAGGATTTAAATGAACTAATGAACGGCATGGAGAAAGGACAGCGGACAGAAGTCGCTGAGGTCTCCCGCGATGCTGGTGGGGCTCCCCTGAGGTCCCTTCAGAACTCACAGGCACTCCCGGCCGCAGCTCTGTGCGGTCCGCAGCTCTGGCCTCTCTCAGCCTGGCCGCTGCGGCACGAACCCGCGTCTCCTTGGACAGTCCACCCCCGCGACCCTCACCTAGTCTCCAGGTAGACGTTGGGCGGCTGCCAGGTGTCAGGGGGAATCGCCGCCATGCCGAACGAGGGTATCCCCCTAGCAATCACTACTTCCGGTGGCGTTCACTGGGGACCGGTTCCCGGTGCGCACACTTCCGGTTCCCGCCAAGCTGCCCGTTTGGGTGTTGGGATTTAGGACGCTGGGACAAGGAAGATGAAGGACCCTTCTTGCGAGGGCGGGAAGGGGGTTGCAGCACGAAATACCCGGTGCAGACCCCCAGACGAATGCAAGAGCCTTCGGCGGCGTTTCGCGCGATGCTCCGGAACGGTGATTGGTCTGTTTAGGCACGGGAGGCGGGAACAACCTTCTTCGCTCTGATTGGAGGGGTGTCCAATCAGCGAAGAATTTCTTAGTTCCCTGACCTGGATGGTTCAGAAACGAGCCACGCTGCTTATTGTATATCCCTGGCCGTCCTGATAGACAGGACACCGTGTAGACCAGGCTGGTCTCGAACTCACACAGATCCTCCCGCTCTGCCTCCCGAGTGCTGGGATTTAAGGCGTGCACCACCACGCCCAGCGCACTTTCTTATTTCATGTATTCCATAAAGCAATCCTGTAGATGATAGCAGTCCTGTTTTTCAGATGTGAAAACTGAAACTGAGACCCAGCAGGTAAGTGCCGCGTGGCAAACCTGATCCTCCAAGACTCCAAAAGCAAGGACGGTGTGGAAAGAGGGAAAGAAGGGCAGGAAGAGAATGACAAGGCTTAAAATGACTGCTCCAGGAAGTGGTAGTCCACGCCTTTAATCCCAGCGTTCAGGAGGCAGAGGCAGGCAGATCTCAGAGTTCGAGGCCAGTCTGGTCTACAGAGTGAATACCCATACAAAATGCCAGGCGGGCATGCATCTGTGGCCCCAGCACCAGGGAAGCAGAAACCCATGGATCCATGGAGCTGGTTGGCCTTCCAGTCTAGCCTCAACAGCTGCCTCCGAGATCAGTGGGCCAGGAGGGAAATGTTCGTTGTATGTTAAACATCCCATAATTAAGAACAAAGAAGTAGGTAAATATTTACATTGCTTCTTCAATTCTAAGATGAATTCTCCCTCCCAGCCACCCACTTCCTGCTCAGCAAGGCAAAAACAAAGCAAATGTAAACCCTAACAATCTTTGTTTCCCCAGAAAATTGTGCAAGAGATACTACAGATAGGAAATCTGAACTTTTAGCATGCTCAGGACTTACAAGCCCAACAAAGATGGGGTAAGAGCTTTTGGGGGAGCTCTCCCATCAAAGGCTAGAGAAACAAAAGTGGCTTTTTAATATTACAGTGTGTGTGTCTGTGTCTGGGTTTGAATGTGCAGCTCGGGCACAGGAGCCTACAGACCTGAAGAGCATGTCAGATTCCCCAGAACTGGAGTTACATGCAGTTTTGAGCCGGCACCTGGTGTTAGAAACAGAATGTGGTTCCTCCACAAAAGGAGTGAGTGCTTTTAACACCCAAGCTATCTCTCCACCCCTAAGAATGATGTTTTTCATGATGAAGGAAAATGATCAAAAACAGTCTCGTGGGCGGGGAGATGGCTCAGAGGGTAAGGGTGCCTGCTGCCAAGCCTGACCAACCTGAGCTCAACCTGGGACCTTCACTGCGGAAGAAGTGACACCCCTAAGATGCACACACACCATACACCATGCTGAAGGTCAGAGCACTTGCCCAGCATGCTAGGAGTTGACACTAAACCATCAAAGCAGCCAGCTTCCGCAGCCTGAAATCATAGGTGCTTTGTATCATTTTTTTTTTTTTTTTAAGTTTTTGAAAGTGTCCTGACACATTTTTAAAGTGTGGTGTGTTCAGTGTGTTCTACAACTGTGTTATATTAAGTCAAGCCAGTGTCAGCTTAAAAATCCAGTGTCGAGTCAGGCTCCCGGCTCAGCATCGCACGCAGCCCTTTCTGACCCCCAGCCTACACGGTGCACTGTGTGAGCCTACCCCAAAGCCTCCCCTGTGTTTGTGAGGCTGGGTGAGCCGTCGGTGTGGCTGAGCCACTCCTCACACTTCAGCAGGCCTTCAGGGGCCTTCTCAGAGATTTTAGGGGCCAGGTGTACAAGCTGCTTCATAATTAGACACTCTTGTCCCTTCCTCCTCCCTTCCTTTGTCTGGCCCCTCTTTCCTTACTGCCTTCTTTTCCCTCCTCCTTGGGCATGGCTTACTTTTCAGGCTTCCTCACAGCTACTCTCCCTTGGGAAGAACATAGCAGCACCCTTGGGCTTGAGTCTGCCTGTTTCCAAGTGCCTTTCTTTCTCCCTCAATTCTCATGGCCTAAGTCATTAAAAATAGCGTTACGAAAATCTCTGACTCTGCTTTAAGTTAGTTAGTCCTGAACAGTCTCTGTGGTATCCAACTCTTGACTCCTGTAGCTTGCCTACGTCACGGTCCCTAAAAGATTAACGGGCCAACTTGGACAGTTCAAGGAGACATTGTAGATCCAGGTCTCTGTTGCTTTCACCTCTGCCATCTTGGAGGCTCATTTCTGGGTCCATCTAGAGCAGCATGGATGAGTATCCCTGACCACTGCTTGGCTGATCTGCCCTGTTCAATGCATGGTCGCTTGGTTTCTTTGCTTTTGTTCTTCTGGGCAAATCAGTTAATGTTTACTGGGTGCCAAAAAGGTAGAAATCCCCTAGACTCATCCATATCCTGTTCCTAGCTCAGAGAGAACAGTATATGGCCTTTCTTTGAGGACATCTTCATTAAGGGTGACCCCCCTAGATTTCCTAAAATTTCCACCATCTTGTCTCCAAGAGAGCAGCCAGAGGTACAATGGAAAGAACCTGCCTTGCTCTAGTAAACACCAAGGGAGCTACTACTCCCCAAAGCAGCCGAATTTGGATCCAAAAGACATTAAGAGTGGTCACTTCTGCACTCTCTCTTGGCCCTAAGTTTTGTTTTGTTTTGAGGCGTGTTTTCTCTGTGTAAGCCTTGGCTGTCCTCCCTTTGTAGACCAGGCTGGCCTCGAACTCACAACTCAAATTGATCCACAAGCCTCTGCCTCCCCAAGCTCTGGGATTACAGGTGTGCCGTCTCCAGGGATGCTTACAAACCAGGATAACAGCCTGAGCTTTTGTGACCATCAATGGATGAGTTAATGGCACTGGACGGCCTGCTGAGCCTGCTCTAGGAAGGGCTCCACAGCCTACACTAGGACAGGCAGATGAGGCCCAATCCAAGCATCTATTTTTATCTCTTTCTTTTGCCCAACCCCTCTGCTTTTGGTTGTTTTTGTTCTAGACACACATGCTAGCATGGGAAGGTAGCTGAGCTTAAAAGAGTGACGGCCTAAAGAGACGAGAGGAAATCATCTGGAAGGCATTTCCTCCTCTGCTACTGAGCTGTGGGGCCAGAAAAAGCTACTGCCTGCGTCTGCATGACTAGCCTCGTGTTCTGTGTGGATGAGCATCTGAACCTTAAGCCTTATCATCAGCCAGCTTAGGCGCCAAGGCCTTGGCTCCACGGGAAGCTCCCTACCAGGATTCTAGGAAAGTGCACGCCTTTTCAGAAGGGCACATTTAAGAGCAAGGATCGCTCTAGTGCTCTGCACATGTCTACACACGAGTCTACACGTGCTTGTGGTTTTATCTAGTTTCCTTGGTACCAAACTGGCTTAGAATTAAGTGCTAACGTAAGTTAAAAATCTTAAATTAATCCAGATTGTTTTTAGTTCACAGTGGAACTGGAATTCATTTTTTTTTTCAGATTTATTTTCATATGTATGTGTTCCACGTGCATGTATGTGTTCCACATGTGTGCCCGGTGCTCAGGGAGGTCAGAGGAGGACATCCGAGCCCCTGGAACTGGAGTTACAGACAGTTTTAAGCCGGTATGTGAGTGCTGGGAACTGAACCCCGGTCGTCTGCAAGAGCAGTCAGTGTTCCTCACTGCTGAGCCATCTCTTCAGCTTATGTAACTGTTATCTATCTATGTATCTATGGTCTGTCTATTTATTTATTTATTGGGTTTTTGAGACCGGGTTTCTCTTTGTAGCTTTGGCTGGCCTGGACTCACTCTGTAGACCAGGCTGGCCTCGAACTCACCGAGATCCACCTGCCTCTGCCTCCCAAGGCGCTGGGATTACAGGCCTGAGCCACTGGGCTCAGCTGGCACTGTAATTCGAGGAGTGAAAAGAAAAAGCCGGCTCTAACAGTGTCAGCTAAGGCGGCAGGTAATAACTGGGGTTGAGAGACATTTAATTGTGTCTGTCCCGGGGAGAGCACAGGGTTGCCTGATGGCTTGCCTGACTCCGCCTCACAGTCACAGTGCCTTTGATCGTGTGGCATCAGGCCTGAGGCCCAGTGCTTTATTTGCAGGTCCCATGCAGAAATCAGTTAAAGGACGGGGCCTGAGAGATGGCTCGGCTGTTGAGAGCCCTTGGAAGCTGCTCTTCCGAAGGATTGGCATTCAGTTCCCAGAACCTGCTCGCAACTGTGTGTAAGCCCAGTTCCATGGCAGCCGGGTGCCTCTGGCCTGAGGAAACACGCGCACGCCCGCGTGGAGAAACGCATGAACATAATTAAAAAGAGTAAATACAAATGCATGTGTTTTTAAAGTTCTAACGTTACAGGCAGTTCGCACTGAGGAAGGTGACATCAGACGCTGACTGCCGCTCCTTCTCTGTGAGAGAAATCTCCAAGTTAGCTAGCTAGCTCCATAAACCCGTTTGGCTGGTACAAGGTTAAATGTTGTGAGAATGCTTAAGTTACAGTAGAATTGCTGAAGCAGTTTCGTGAGAGTTCAGAGCTTAGCAGTGCCTACCACAGAATTAGCGGGCAGTAGATACAAACGAGCAAGCCGAGTTTAAAGGTGAGTGATTTGAATCTGGACCCCCCCCCCCCCAAAAAAAAGGAGAGCGAGACCTCAAGGACTGAGAAGGCGCAGTAGTGCGATGCAGGCGCCAGGGGGCGCCAGGGCACCAGCTTTCCCGATACCGCGAGAGTTGCCCCAGCCCTGCGCCCTCGCCCGATCTGTTTCGGAGCGTGGGGCGCCAAGAGCTTTTCCTTTGTGTTCGGGCCCGGCCTTCGGCCTGAGAATCGCTTCCGGGTCGGGGCGCCGGAAGTGGGAAGTTGTTAGCCCGTCCTCCTCGCCCGGCGGCTTGTGTCCCCAAGGCGGGAGGAGCCCGAGAGGGCGCGGGCCCGCATGTGAGTGACTGGGGCCCGAGGCCGGGAGGGGGGAGGCCGGCTGCCGGCCGCGGCCGCCACAGCCTCGCGCAGCCCTGGCTCGCCGCTGCCGCCGTCCCCACCTTGCCCCTCCGCCCCCGCCCCTCTGCGAGAGCCTCCGGCCGCTCTGCTGACCGACGACCTCCCCCGGCCGCTCCCTCGGGGGATCCTCCCTTCTGACATCTTTCGGAGGCTCCGCGGAGGAGAGGGAAACGAGGTCCGCCTCTGCTTGAACTCGGTTCGCAGGCGTCGCGGCCGTGTCCGAAAGCCCCGACCCCGCTCGTCACCTTGTCACGGATGCCTTAGCATCACGAGAGTCCATCCCTGACGCCTTCTTAGATATCTTTACCTAACTGTTAAGGAGGAAATCTTTTTATTTATTTATTTTTAACGTGGACTGAACGTGATAAACGTGGCGTCTCAGATTTCAGAGAGGAACGTGTCTTGGTGTACTGACCTGAGTAAAAGAACTGTTTGCAATCGCCTGTCAGTCCAAGAAAATCACGTGCTGGTGTTTCATCGCAGTTTAAGACTTAACCTTGCAGGCCACATGTCGTGAGTATGCCGTGACAGAAGCATAAAGGGACACGTTTGTCTTTTCCTAATGTCAGACTTTATCATTGGCTGCAGTTTTGCTAAGGATTCAAGATTTCCCTTGACAACTGGCCATTACCAAAAATAGATTATATCCTTCCAACGCTCATTGATGATATTAAGTCTCACGTGACAGTACACATCCCACAGTAATTATGGGTCTATATGGGCTATTGACTTTACACAAGGGCCAAAGAGGCCACAGCAGCGTTCAGAGAAGCCCTACATGAGAATGGCTCAGATGTGAAGAGAAAGACGAGTGTTCAGATAAGGCGTGAAAGCCGCAGAGCGCAGGGATGTCAGAGCTAGGCCTCCGAGTTGAGGGGAGCTTCCGGAAGGAAGTGGAAAATCCAGAAGGGCAAACAGGTGGCCACATCAACAGTGTCGGGAGGGGATCTGGCCAGGCTTGAGCTGCAGGGACAGGTAGGAGTTCCCTGCTGTCAGCCTTTCATGAACACATTCGTGGACAAATGACAGGTCACAGGGGGCTGTTGCTGTTACAATTTTAGAAGTCTTTCTTTTCCTGGGGTCCAAGTGAGGGTATTAGATCTTTGCCTCACCCTAGTGAATCTCATAAGTTGTTTTTGTCTAGCGTATCTGGTGATGGTTGTCCTGATAGGAGTTCAGTACACTCACGTGCTCATAGGGTCCTAATTCATTTTGATAAGTTAAAGTTTGCTTTTTACTTTTAGAAGTAAGTGATTTGTTGGGCCGTGCTGTGTGACGGGTGCACATGTGCCTGCCTCTGCCTTTTCACTTAAAATAGATCCAAATGCTGCTTATAAAATGGAGTCACCTAGCGCAAGGCACAGCTGAAAACTGCTGTTTCACACAGTGTGTAGGAACCCATAACAAGCTACACAGCCTGATTGCAACCTCACAGTTTGTCATGACCTAAAAGCCCGCATGACCTTGGTGTTGGATGTTCTCTTAGTCATCACGGACCTGCTAGTAGAGGCTACTCCTGCACAGCTAGTATTCTGATCCTTCTCGCTGTTCATTTGGTAGTTCCCAGCATGGACCTTTTTACAGCCTTTCTTGCTCTCTCTCGCTTGGTTAGTTTGAAGTTGAGTTGTTTCAGTTTCTCTCTTAAGAACACGCTGGAAATGTGGACGGGGCTCAGTGGTAAAGTGCTGGGCTAGCATGTGCAAGGCCCGGTGTCCAGTTCCCGGTCCTGAAAGGAAACAAAACAGATTAAATACTTAGGAAGGCATGGTGATGGATGCCTTCCCAGTGTTTGGAAGATATGCAGGATCAGGAGTTCAAGGCCAGCCTAGACTACATGAAACTATATCTCAAAACAAAACAACCCACCTAAGCCCTCCAAGCATACATCTGTATGTATAGCACAGGCGTGTGTTTGTGTAGAAGAGTTCACTTAGCTGTCCTGCGGTTTGGGCTGAATGTTCACATGCCCCAACTTGTTTACCACAAAGAACCACGCCCAGGTCCTCTGAAATAGCAGTTATCACGCTTAATTACTGAGCCATCTCTGAAGGCTGCATTTTCTCCATTATCCTTTTGTCTGCTTGGAAACTGCTTTTTTTTTTTTTTTTTTTTTTTGCCTTGAAACAGTTTTTGTGACCCCGCTTGAGCCCCTGTCCTCCCGATCTGCGCTCTAACACACAAAAAAGGTGACGGTGCTGGCTTCCAAGCCTGCCACTCACTAACCCTCAGCAGATGGACACACTCCACAAGGGAGTGCAATGAACAAACCACGAGATACACAGTGCTCAGTGGATCCTTTCTGTGACTTGTCCCTTCACCAGATTCTTAGGTTTTTGGGGTTTTTTTTTTTTTTTTTTTGAGTGTGTTGTTATTTTCTCTATTAAAAAAAAAAAAAAACTTTTAAAGTTATTATTATGTGCATTCATTTTACCTGAATGTGTATCTGTGTGAGGGTGCCAGGTCCCTTGGAACTGGAGTTATAACAGTTGTGAGCTGCCCTATGGGTGCTGGGAATTGAACCCGGGTCCTCTGGAAGATCAGGCAGTGCTCTTAACTGCTGAGCCATCTCTCTAGCCCAGGTTATTAGTATTAATTCTTAATTCCTATGAATGTTTGTGACTCTGAGTGTGTGCAGCACATACGTGCGAGAGGCCAGAAGAGGGCGCCAGGTCCCCTGGGATGGGTTGGAGGTGGCGTCATAGGCAGTTGTGAGTTGTCATGTGGGTACTGAGGACCAAACCCAGGCCCTCTGAACTATCAGTAAGTGCTCTTAATCACTGAGCCATCTCTGCGACCTACATTTTTCTCCATTTATGTGCTTTGAAGAACTTGCAGTGTATTGTGGGAGAGGGAAGAGGAAGTACAAAGTAGTAGAGTTGTGCAAGGTTCAGAGGACAAAGTCCGGGTTGAGGGCTTAGAGTTAATGTATTTGACGAATCACTGGAAAATAGGCTGTTTAGAAAGAGGAAATGATGTGCACAAAGGCAGATAGCCATGAGATAGCATGGTGGTGGAGAAGACCAGGGAAGGTTAATGGGAAAATGAGATGCATCGAGAAGGTGGTGACCGGGTCGTAGCAGGCTACAGCAAGTAGCTTAGACTTCTTTTTGTAACAATTTTTTTTGGGGGGTGGGGGTGTTTGAGACAGGGTTTCTCTGTATAGCCCTGGCTGTCTGGACTCGCTTGGTAGACCAGGCTGGTCTCGAACTCACAGAGATCCACCTGCCTCTTCTGGGGTTACAGGCGTGTGCCAACATAACCGGCTTAACAATTACTATTAAGTACTTGATTTACTTGGGTATTGGAACAAATTTTACATATACATTGTATAATCCTCAACTGGAGTAGTTATAATTACCCCCCCTTTTTTTGAGACAGGTTTTAATGTAGTCCAGGCTAACCTCAAACTTGCTATATCGCTGAATTCCTGACTAATTTCTGAGTGCTGGAATATTATCCCTATTTTATAAATGAAAAGTTCTAAGGTTTAAGCAGGTATCGCTAAATAGAGAAAGCTAGGTAGTCCAGCTCCTTCCAGCTCTAGTTCCTGTGTTGTTAGACTGTGCCCGGTAGAGCATCAGGCATCTTGACTGGTGCCTAAACCCGACCTGCTGTGCTTCAGAACAATAGCCTGTGAATAGGAAGGTTAGGCTGGAAGTACAGAGACGGACTCTAGCTCTGTGATGAGCCAGTAGAAAAAAATTAATTACTCACTTTTTTTTTAGAATAAAGTATCTGTCTTATAACCCTGGTTGGCCTGGAGCTCACTGTGTACATGATGCTGGGCGCAGACTTGCAGAGCTCTTCCTGCATCTGCTGCCAAGTGATGGGGCTTTGGATAGCTCACCTGCATCAGAAGGATTCAGTGGGGATTTCAGTGGTTGAAGGAGGCAGAAAGGAAAGTTTTAATTGAAGTTCAGAGGACTAGGGTCTTCATTTAAAAAAAGAAAGAGAGGGCCTGAGAGACAGCTCAGCAGGCGAAAGCACCCACCAGCAAGTCTGCTGACCTGAGCTCCGTCCCTGGGGCCCATCTGTAGGAGAGCAGAGCCGACTTCCATGTCAGAACACGTACACATAAGAAAGCCAACATCTGAAAAGTAAGTGGATGGAAGAGGGCGCTCACAGGGAAAGACAGGTGCAGTTCTGGACACTTCCACAGTGAGAAACTCGAGTTAGTCCGCTGGGCAAATAAGGGGCTGGCTCTTGAGCGCTGTAAAGAACTGTGGGCTGAAAAAGATTGGAGGCTCGTTAATAGCTGCGGTTGAAGTCATGGAGGGAATGGGAAGGTCAAGGACAGCTGGTGCCTGTTAATCTCTGGTGTGAGAATGAGACAGTTATGCCAAGACTGAGAGGACTGAGGGGAGAATGGCAGCAAGGCCAGGTGCTTCTCAGAGGTCAGATAAAGCAGCCACTGGAAAACGCCCTTCGGACTTGGCACCAGGAGAGCCTGGTGACTGGTGAGCGCCGGCCTAGTCGAGTGGGAGCGCAGGGATATGATTCAGCAGGTCAGTGAAGGGGTGGAGGCCTGAGAAGACGGTAAGTGAGGCTAGCCCCTCCTGGATCTGGCTCTGAAGGGAGGGGCAGAGAGCTGGAGCCGCACAACTCCGGAAGGGACAGAATTTTTTTTTTTTTTTTAATGGTTGGGACAGGAAAAAGCAAGGCTTGGAGAAGAGAGAGGTAAGTTCAAAGATGTGCAGACTTCTGCAAGGTCAGAAGCAAAATAAGTCAAACTAGGAATGTTCTGCGTTGATAGGTCAGAGCCAGCCGACAAGGCTATCCAAGGTCTTGGATCTGTAAAAAGGTATGGTGTGTGTTTATGTGTGTGTGTGTGCGCGAAAGAGAGAATAGAGATTTGATTACATACTGAGTATTAGGTAATGTCAGAGAATTAGTAATTTTAGTGGGAATGTTAGTAAAAGCATATCCGTTGTCACATGAGAAAGTCTTACGTGATGCTGAAATATTTAGAGGTAATCTAATAATGTGTCACAGTTAACATCAAATGAATCTGATAGAAACAAAGCGAAGCATGGTAGCACACACCTTTAATCGCAGCACCCGGGAAGTACGGGCAGTGGATCTCTGTAAGTTCAAAGCCACCTGGTGTGCAGAATTACTTCCTAGACACCAGGGCTTCACAAAGAAACCCTGTATTGAAAAACCAGGAAGGAAGAGAGAAAGGGAGGGAGGAAGGAAGTCAGAAAGAGCACAGATGTGGCCAGTGTTGACAGCAGGCAGGTCTAAGTGAACACTGTGTAGACGTTCACTGTTCTTTCCATTTTCCAGAAGTTTAAAATCTTTCAGAATAGTTTGGGGAAAATACAGAATTGAGGTGTCCATGTGGCGGTTTTTCCTTAGTTAGGGAGGGGTAGATCTGCCAAGAGTGAAGAAATGCTTTAAAAGCTCAAGTCTTGCTGGAGGGATGGATCAGCAGCTAAGAGCTTGCTCCGCCAGAGCTCCTGAGTTCAGTTCCCACACCCACATGGTGGCTCACAACCATCTATAACCATAGT